GTTACAGGATCGTGGGTTATCGGTAGCCAAAAAAAAAAAGAAGAAAAAGGGATCCTCGATTTCAATGAGGGCTGGGTCAATGAGTAGTTTTTTTTTGGGGCAGTGGTCATTTTGAGGTAATTAGGTAGAAACAGGGGGTTGATGATGGAAGGAATGAGTCGAGCGATATCTTATCGGCTTATCTGGTGGCACGAATGATTTTTTTTTATTTCACCAAGGGTTCTCAGACAATTTTACTCGTAGGGATCAACCGACGAAATCTACGCCCCTGTGTAATGGATTAATGATTAATTAGAGCTTAAGTCGTACTCACTAGGCATCACGCACGTCGTACGTGCAACTTCAGGGGCGGCTTAATTCGTTCCCGTGATTATTAGACTGCGCACGGAAGCTTAAAAGGTTTCAGGAAAATCTTAATGGCGGTACCTACTCCTATGAAAATCAACGGCTAAATACTCGGAGGCTTGCGCGAGTAAGATAAGGACTTTAATTCCAGTGAAAAGCACGAGATTCCGCACGTCTCGGCGTCCCGACGCACCGACGTCGAGCGTCTTTAATGAAGGTTCGTGGCATGCACAAATTTCGGTTTAAAAAAATTTGTTTACCCCGCAAACGCCTGCATCGCCGGATTGAATGGATATTTATGTGCCAATTGAAAAAAAATATTAGAATTTCTTTTTTTAAAGCTAAAAAGTATACACGATAGTAATATGTATACATGCTTAAGGGTATAACCTAATGTGTGAACCTCACGGGAGAAAACAAGCGGAGGCTTACTTATGCTGGTAAGAATATAAGCAGGTGGCTACCAGCTGGAATCCCTTTAGGGGGTGGTAGTAGCAGCTAATAATAATGATCGATAATAATCTAATTTAGGGACACCCGGCCTAGTTTGCTAAAAGCTAACATACCGTAAGTTAAAGGGAGCCCAAGAAATATTCATCTGGTCGTGCAATTAAAAAGTGGTATACCAAAGAATTACAGTAACGTTATCGAGTGGGGGGTAAAATATAGGAGCATAGTTTGACAAAAGTGTCCTCGTTAGATTTCCATTTAGATAGAGAATTGTCCTAATGACTATAAGTTTCCCAATTTTTTCTCACTTAGGCTAACGCCCGGAAGTGAGAGAGCTGACTTTTCCGAAGTTTGTTTAAAAAAAAAAATAACATTTCAAATTGTTCT